TTTCTTGGTTTTCTTGGGTATCTTTGAAGGATTTATTAATTTCTTCTAACTTTTTGTTTATCTTTTCTTCCATTTCTTTAAGGGAGTTTTCTACATTCTCTTTAAATCTCTATCATTTTTACAATATTATGTGTCTATTTCTTCTACTTCTTCTGGATTATGGTGTTCAAGTTTTCCTGTTGTGTGTTCATTGGATTCTGGTGTTATCATGTTACTTTTTAGGTTGTTGGAAGAATTCTTGCATTAGTGCCTGCCCACCTCTTCCTTCAAATTCGGCCAGGAGAGTCTAGGTGTCTTGGTTCAATCTTGCTGTGGCTGATTCTGCACTTGGGTTTTTTTTTTTATTGGTCTACCCTCAGCACTGGAGTTGGCTCTCAGTTCCCCTGTGCTTTAAAGCAGGCTGTGGTGGTGGATCTAAGGACCCCACAGATGGAAAGGAGTGCTTGGGGGCAAAATGGGATGGGTTAAAAAGAGAAAGCCTGTAGCTGGAGAGACGCACTGTTAAATGGCCAAAAATGATTAGGGAATTAGAGGGGGCCTGTACTTCATTCCTAGTGTGTCCATCCACCCGGGTAGGCACACACCCACCCCTCCAGATGGATCTCCTCAGTACAGGAGTAAGGCCTCCTGCTGTCCAAGGACCTTGCAGATAACAGGGTGGTGGGTTTGGCGGGGGCAGTGTCATGTGGAACACAGAAGCCCCTGTGGTAGGATCACTCACTACTGGCTCCCCAGACCCTCAGCCCCAAAGCAGGCTGAGTTGAGGGATCCTAGGATCCCACAGATTGAAATAGGTGCTTGGGGGTAAGATGGAAGGGATAAATACTGAAAGCCTGACAAGGTTCCTCTAGGTAACAGCCTTGGTTGTTCGGACATACTTTGTAGACCAGGTTGACCTTGAACTCACAGAGATCCACCTGCCTCTGCCTCCCAAGTATTGGGATTAAAGGCACGCACCACCACAGCCCATTGAATTTCACTTTTCTTGGCTGTAGGGCAGGTCAGTCTTTCAGAACTGAACCTTCTAGACTGACCCATCAAGACTCAACTATCAGGACTAACCCTTCAGGACTCAATTTTCAGGACTGACCCTTCAGGACTTTTTGCTGGGCTCCTTTTATTGTTCTCCAATTTACACCTAGCAAGTAGATTTTTATATCCTCAAAACATCCTGACTGGCCTCCAAAGGGACAATGCCAAATGTAAACACCTGATTCAGGAGGAGCCACAGTTTTCTGGGTTTCCTTCTTACCAAGATTTGCATAAGCTTTGTACCCTTGGGAAACTCTCAGATAGAGGGGAACAAGAGAAACAATATGTTAATTGCTAACAAAAGATGGATACAGCTAGGTGCTAACACTCTGGTGCTGGATCAGGTGTAGTCCAGCAGGAATGCTGCCACACATAGGCCCTAGCTCTGTCACATTTCCTTATATTTACTTTTCTTCCTCAAAACTGTGTATAAGTTATTATTACTATATCAATTAGACAGTACAGTTTAGGGAGGAATCATCTTCTTGACAATCCACAGATAAGAATCGCCCGGTAAAATGGGATCTTTTCATGAGATAAACACACAACATTATAGGCAGTGAGGATCTCTCCACAGCCATTCACACAATGCCAGATACCAGAGAAAGATAGATGCAGCAAGCATATAAAAGCACAGCAGAAACAAAAGACGTTCATGTGTGTGTAGTCTCAAGTCTTGCCTGTCCAAGATTGATCCATGAGAGAATTTCCTCCTGGTAGGCTGTCACCTTGAACTTGAATTGCCACCTGATGGTCCCCTGACATGGCCTCCAACATTCTATTTTATGATGCTCTTATATTGGGGAGTATTATTTCAGCATCATCTTAAAAATAAGCTTTTTAGCTGGTTGTGGTCCCACATCAAATCCTGTTTATTGGGTGCTAGGAATAAACTCAGGGCATCATGTATGCCAGGCAAACACTCTGCCAACCAAATGCATCCTCAGCCCCTAGAGGAGTAGGGACCTTTAGAATGTACCTCCTCCACCTATTTTTATCCTCCTCATTTTTTTCTTTAATCATCATCTTAGCCATCACTATTGCCTCCTCTGTTTTTATTAGATCTGCCTCAGAAATGGATCAATGCATCTGTCACAAGGGTAGGTTTGTTATCAAAGTGAGTTCAGCCCCCTTTTTCTCAGATTAATGTTTTTATGCCCTTTCTTTTAACATGGATGACATGGGAAGAAAGTCCTCTCAGATGCATGCCACACTCGAAATATCTGGTCTCAACTTTTTTAAAATTTATTTATATTTTATGTATGAGTGCTCTATATGTATGCCTGCATACCAGAAGAGGACATCAGATATTAGTATAGATGGTTGTGAGCCACCATGTGGTTGCTGGGAATTGAACTCAGGACCTCTAAGAGAACAGCCAGTGCTCTTAACCTCTGAGCTATATCTCTCCAGCCCTGGTCTCAAAAAATTTAAAAAGTGATCTGTGATCTATGTATTTGGAAAATAAGCTAAGACAGAAGATGAGGTCAGGCTCAGGGAAGGTTCACAGGCACAGGAACACAGGCAGTGAGAGGAGAGGCCAAGATCTAGTGCCTCCAGTTCTGCAGGTCTCAAGTCTCTGTAATGCTCCTGTAATAAAGCCACTTAATTTGCTCAAACATTTCAGAATTAGGTAAAAGTTCAGGCCACCTATTTCCTAAATATTCATATAGAAAGTGATATAAACTTTTAAGCATTTTTGAGGTCTTGTGACACACAAGTGATTAGCCCTTGGGAGGTGGAGGCAGGAGGATCAGGAATTCAAGTCGTTGTGCTGGCACAGAAGCCACAGAATGTCTTCCTTTCCTTGTGAGCAAAGACTCCGAGAGACACAGATGGTGGCACCAAGGGAGTCAGGTGCTGCAGAAAGGACCTGAAGGGGAACAGTGTCAGGGAGCAACACGGGGCTGGTGTCAAAGTGGAACAAGGGAGGAATGAAGACTCAGAAGACCAACAGTATCAGGTAAGGTACAGTGGTGTGATCATGATGGAGACCTTGATCTTATTTTCAGCAACAAGGGTACAGTGAGGGGCCTGGGGCATGTTCGGGATATTAAGTAAGGAATATTTCAGTGAATGCTGTCTCTTGGGTTGTGGTGAAAATATTCTTAGGCATGTAAGAGCAGAAGTAGGGGAACCAAAAAGGGGCTTGTAGAGGGCAGTAACCTTAACAATAACTTTTAAAACACTCTTATTTATGACCGTATCTGTCTCTCCATCTGTCAGAGTATATTTCTAATTGTGTGCACACCCGCTCATAGAGGCAGAGGCCAGAGGAGGGTGCCTGGTATCCTCTATAAATCTGTCCATAACCTTCAGTCAGGGTCCCTTCCTGAAATTGAATCTGGAAGTCAGCAAGCTCCAGGAATCTTTCTATCTTCACCGTCAACATTTTAATCATGAGTCATAGTCTTATAACCCACTAGCTTATTATATTGGTGTTGAGATCTGAATCCTGGTCATCACAACTGTGCAACTGCTATTATCCACTGAGCCCCACTTACAATGTTTACAAATGATCTGTATCATCTCTCTGTTTATGTATGTATATATGTTTCTGCCTTTTATTCATCAATATATCTATCTCTATCAGTCTATTACCTATCATCTATCTATCTATCTATCTATCTATCTATCTATCTATCTATCTTCATCATCATCATCACCATCATCATCATGATCATCATCATGTTTTTGTGGTTGTGTGTGTCATTATACATATCTGATATCTGAAGAAACCAAAAAGGACATCAAATCCCATGAAGCTGGCATTACAGGCAGTTTTTAGCACTCTGATATGGAAGATGGTATTAAACCCAAGGCCTCAGCAATAACAGCAGTGCTCTTGGCCCACAGAGCCACCTCTCCTGCTCCAACTGTTAAGTTTTGAGTTAAGATGTTGTTGAACTGGGTCACCTCTCAAGAAGCCCACCTCCATGAATTTTAAAGATGAACACTTTCTTACCACTGATGTTTAACATCAAGATTGGTCCCTTTCTTAGCCCCTTGTAGTCACTATCTCCCACTATCCCAACACACCATCAACTACATCTGTGTTTGAACATCATTTAGATGCAGCAGATAAAAACAAAACTTGCTTTTGTGTAGCATTAAGTTGGCAAGTTTCACTTACACCATTGGTCTGGTCTAAGAATTGTTAGTTCATTGTTGCAAAAAAAAAACAATGAATATATCAACATCAAACATATGCAGAGCTTTTTTCTTGGCATTGTCTCCAAACAACACTGGGCACTGATCGTTTTCATAGCCGTTCATTTCTATTAGCTGCAGTGCAATCTAGAGAGAGTAAAGGTTACAAAAGGACATGGGAGGGCTGTTTGCAAACCCTGCACCATGCTCCTCAAGGATTCCAATGGTTGCACTGCCAGGCATTTTTGCAAATGTCCAAACTGTAGTCATGACTCACATACAGGACCACTACTAGGTGACTATCACTTTCCTTCCCATATAAACCAGTGGGTGGGTCAGGGCTCTTCTCTCTGAACGTTGTCAGGAGGCATTGGACAGGCGGAAGCTGGACCACAGGAAGCATGGTTCACCTGGCCAGACTGAAGAGTATGGGCACGGAACTAAAGCACATCTGCATCCACATCTGTATCTATTATTTTTGAGGTAGGGTCATGTGCAGGCGAGACTGGCTTCAAACTGGATGTGCAGACATGGATGACTACTGATTCTCTGGTCTCTACTTCTCTTATGCCAGAATTATAAACAAGTGTTGCCCTGTCTCCCTACTCTACAGTGCTGGTGTACTGATTAGAAAATCCAACCAATCAGTGCAGACCCTGGCTACCTTGTGAATTAACCCTTCACCTCTTAGGTCCTCGGGAGAGAAAGGGTGGCCAGGAGAGGGGTACCTACTTACCAGTCTGTGTCTAGGTGTTTTCACAGTGTAACAGCAATGTCTGCACTGACTAACCACAACCTTCACGCCCTTATCCTGGCAGCTTAAAGAAAAATATGGAGACGTGTTCACAGTGCACCTGGGACCGAGGCCCGTGGTCATGTTATATGGGACAGAGGCCATAAGGGAGGCTCTGGTGGACCAAGCTGAGGCTTTCTCTGGCCGGGGGACAGTTGCTGTACTTGAGCCAATTGTACAGGGATATGGTGAGATACGGGACAGGGTGAAGTGGCAGATGTGGTCCGGGACGATGTGGGTGAGAGGTGGAGCCTGAGCTGTGGGGAAGGACTCAGGGTCTTTGAACTTCTATGATAACCCAGCCATGCTTCCCCTACATACTTAGGTGTGATCTTTGCTAATGGAGAACGCTGGAAGACCCTTCGGCGATTCTCTCTGGCCACCATGAAGGATTTTGGAATGGGCAAGCGGAGTGTGGAAGAGCGGATTCAGGAGGAGGCCCGATGTATGGTGGAGGAGCTGCGGAAATCCCAGGGTGAGTCCCAGAGAATGAGCAGAAAGGAAGATGGTGACACAGGGACCTGAGTGCAGAGCCTAAGAAAGAGAAAGACAAGGGCTGAGAAACAGACAGACAGACAGACAGACAGACAAACACACACAGAGTATGGAGAGGACGAGATACTGATACAGGTGGAGAGAGAGAATTATAAGGACAGGAAAAATTGTGAGGTATTTTGTTTCTAAAATAACTAAGATGCACATACTGCCCATGGTGGTCAATTCTCTTCAGAAAATCGACCAGTGAATTATTAATTATTTTTCTTTGTCAATTGGATAGTTTTGGTGAACACTCATCCTCTCAGAACTCAGAAGGTGAACTTATGGCAAAACAGCCATAAGTTCAAGGCCAGCCCTGTCTACAGTGTGAGGTCCTGCCTTTGATGTGGCTGTGGCTGAGTTGTGGAGAGCTTACAGCACCATATACAGTGGGCATGGTCCTGCATGTGTGTAATCCCAGCACTCCAGAGGTGGAGACAGGAGAATAGAATTCCAAGTTACTCTTCTATTGCACAAAGTGTTCAAGAACATTTTGACTTAATCGTTATAATTGCCCCCTATCCCTGCCCCCCCCCCCCCATGATCTCATCAAAGGCAAACACAGACCTTTAATCGATGAAGGAAATGGAGCAGGAGGACCTGCAGACATGAGCTAAGCTGGGAACTGTGTTTTCTTCCTTGTGAGTGTGTTGGTGAGCAGCAGTGAGCACAGAGGCTCATGGGAGTTTGATTTTGGTAAAAATCAGAGGTACTCTGAGGGTATTTTAAGTTTGTTGTATCAAGGGCACATTGGTTACAAGACTGTTGCTTGCACCTCCATTTCTTTACACGGGGTATTTGTCATCTCTTATTGACCTTTCTCTGGAGATCTGAGAGGTCAGTAAGGAAGGGGGAGGGAAGAAAGGTGCAGAGGGTGAGAAGAATGATGAGAGAAAGAAGTCAGTGATGGAGGGACCCGAGGAAGAGAAACAAGCGGAGAATCAAGCTAAAAATGGACTAAGAGTGAAGCTGCTGAGCCCCAGGAAAGTGTCCTCATAGGATCAGAGACCACAGACAAGACAGCCCCAGGGTGAAGGGCAACAGTGACCCAATATTGCTGTACTGACAACAGTCGCCCAACTGCCAGGGACCATGACAGAACCTAGTATACAAAGCTGCAGGCAACAGCGGCTGATGGCTTCTGGAACACCATATAATTCAGAAGTCAGAGAAGAGAGGGATGGAGGACATCAGAGAAGGAATGGAGGACGTAGGAGAAGGGAACGAGGACGTCAGAGAAGGGATGGAGAAAGTCAGGGAAGGGATAGAGGAAGACAGACAGATAGGCATGGAGTGTACAGGGCTTGTAATTGACACAGCCATCCCTGAACTCTTCTGTGCACCATTCCTGCCAGTGGGAGTGAGCTAACAGTTAAGAGTGAGGATGTCTTCCTGGGAGGAAGAGCATGTGCAGACTGACTGAACTCACTCTAAGTCTTGTTCCTAGAATCCTAATTGCAACAATGTTCCAGCCATGATTAGCTGAGTTTCCTTGGTGAAGGTGCATCCCTTTCTGTATATAGAAATAGCATCCCATATTCTGTACAGTACTGAGGGAGTTAAATAAAGGGATGCATGCATCTCTGAGTGAAGAGCCCACATTCTTATGTGCACCATATATATAAATGTGTTGCTGTTCATTAAGCAGTGAGTGGTTGGGACGACTTTACAGAGATGGGGCTGAAGTCAAATACTCCGCTAATTCTGTATTCCCTTTCTCTTGTCCTGTATCCTTCTTCAGGAGCCCCCCTGGACCCGACGTACATCTTCCAGTCCATCACAAGCAACATCATCTGCTCCATTGTCTTTGGAGAGCGCTTTGACTACAAAGACCGCCAGTTCGTGCGCCTGTTGGAGCTGATCTATCAGACCATCTCGCTCATCAGCTCATTCTCCAGCCAGGTCAGTGGGTGGGAAGAGAGGAGCATCAAAGGCAGAGGAAAGAAAAGGCTGCTTTATGAGTGAAGAAGGGAGTGTCTTATGGCTGGAAGAAGGATAGAGACAACATGGAAAAGCAAGGAGACTATGACCTGGAGAGATGGAGGGAAGGAGGAACAGAGGGAGAGAGGGATGTTGAGCACAGTGGAGAGACCTGAATGCAGAAATACAGAGCCATCCACATGATGATGTGGAAAATACAACTGTTACTTAGAGGACAGAGGATACAGTACTTCACGCATGAGCCCTTGAGTTCATCCCCAGGACTTGGTGGTGTACAATACATGAAATTCCAGCATTTTGGTGTTAGAGACTGGGCTATCAGAAATTTGGGCTGATCCTAGGCTACATGTTGAATTTAAAGTCTGTCTGGCATTAATGTGTTCAAAATACAATACCCCACAATGAAAACAAATTAAGACAAAACAGCAAGGAAGATGGGAGAGAGCGCAGAGGAGAGGAAAAGGGAGATACAGAGATGTAAAATGAAGGTTAGAGACTGATTTAGAGATAAAGGTCAAAAGACATGTGTATGTATGTTGTCCATGTATGGGAGGGGTGTGTCTTTGTGTGTGTGTGTTTCTTTATCATATCTGTGGACTTAGGAGCACTGCCCTCTTCCTGAGTCCTGATAACTTCATGTGACTTACTGGGCTCTTCTTTCTTGCAGGTGTTTGAGCTCTATTCGGGTTTCCTAAAGTTCTTTCCTGGTACCCACAGACAAATCTACAAAAACTTTCAGGAGGTCCTGGACTACATTGGTCACAGTGTGGAGAAGCACCAGGAAACCTTGGACCCAAACAATCCAAGAGACTTTATTGATACCTACCTTTTACGCATGGAGAAGGTAAGTCCTGTGTGAATGAAAGGGGATGGCTGAGAGTAAAGGCTGAGGTTGTGAGCAGAGGAAAAGAGCGATAAGGATGGGGAGGAGAAACAGGAAATGGAGTGGAGGAGATCTGGAAAATGATGAAAATAAAAGGAAGAGAAAATGTGGTAGGGAGAACGAAGGCTGGAAAATAAACACAGAAAAAAACCAGAAAAGTCCTCAGAGGAAAAAAGAGCCTGGGATACAAAAAAATGATAAACTACCAGAGAGCACAGTAGAGAGAGAAGACAGAGCAGAGACTGAGAAATGCCATGTGGTCCAGATAGTGAGACAGAAGGACAGTTCCAAGGATGCATCTCCCTGCAAGGCTTCAGGCACCCTGACCCTCCCTTCTCTCTCCCATCTGGAATTAGGAGAAGACCAACCAACACACGGAATTCAATCACCAAAACCTCATAATCTCTGTGCTGGCTCTCTTCTTTGCTGGCACTGAGACCAGCAGCACCACGCTCCGCTTTGGCTTTCTGCTCCTGCTAAAATACCCCCATGTAGCAGGTGAGCAACAGGCGGCCAGTTGGGGAATCGTCTAGCTACCCTTTTCTGCAGAGGTTTGTGAGGATTGAGAGAGACATAAGACTCTTACATCTGGAGCTCTGAAGGCTTTGGTCAACTTCTAACCTAAGGCAGTGCTGTGGGTGGTGTGTGAATGAACACTCAGCTGGTCCATTTTCATTGTTTTCTGCTATAACTTGAAGGTTGGATCATCTGTCCTTTCTTTCTTCCTTCCTCCCTTTCTTTCTTTCTTTCTTTCCTTCTTTTGTTTTTGCATTCATCTGATACTCATTCATCTTTCTGTCCATCTACCCGTTCATCTATTTACCATTATATTTGTGTTTCATCCATTATCTAACATCTATATATTCATTTTCCCTCTACACACCTGTGCACCCACCATTAATACTCTGCCCATCTTCTCTATACTCATAGATGATTAATCCTTGATTCTTTCATCTCTGTTTTACCCAATGACATATACTTCATTCATTTATGTGAATGAATCAGTTTGTGAGTTTTAATCTTTATCATAACTAGTTGAGGAGGCTCTCTGTCATTTATTCATTGGTTCATTCATATACAAATCTTCTCATTCCTTAAGTCTGCCCATTGGCCTTTGAATTCACCCCTCATGGGTCAATCCATTCCTCCACGTATCCATTTAATAATTCATTCATTTATCTGTGATTTATTCAATAGGCCTACCTATTTATTCCTATATTTGCTCATTTATTCATTCATTTATTCCTTTGCTAAGCCTAACATCACTTCATTATTGGATAGTTATGTTCATTGATTTATTTATGTGTGCACCATTTGTGACTCATTAATTGATTAATACAGTGAGTGAGAAGTGGAATATGGACATCCAGTTTTGCTTTGCTCATTTCACTCACTCAGCAATCTTTCCTTTAGTAACTGACTCATCCATTGCTTGGCTGACTTCCACACTCACATTCTAAGAATTTGAAATCGATGTGATGTTGTTGTGAGTTTGTCTGCTGCAGCTCATGTGTGGAGGTGGGAGGACAACTTTGTGCAGTTGGATAGCTCCTGCACATTCACATGGGTCCTGATGTTAAAGTCAGCCTCTCAAGATGCAAGTCAAGTGCATTTTCTGGCTGTGCCCTTTCATTGGTTAATATATTCACCAATGTGTTCATATTCTGTATTTTGTTATCCATAGATTAATTTACTTCCCTTTTATTCCTGAGGATACAGCCTCGGATTGTTAGCCTGTATTTTTATTTTGCTAAACTAATGTTCTTTGCTGTTTTGTCTGCAAATATGTCTGTGTGAGGGGTTTGGATCCCCTCGACCCAGAGTCACAAACGGTGTGAGCTGCCATGAGGGTGCTGGAAACTGAACCCGGGTCCTCTTTAAGAGCATCCAGTGCTCTTAACCTCAGAGACATATCTCCAGCCTCCTGGATTGTTAAATTATTAAATATAAACTCCATGCAGAGAACTCTCTTTCTCTTTCTGTCTCTCTCATCCATGACCACAAATTATAACATTATATTTCAAATGCAGAAAATTCCTACCATCTTCCCCTCCAGCCCTCAGTCAGACTGATAGATGAAAATAGCCCTTTGCTGTGGGTTTTCCTTTTCTCTGTATTAGGAACAAGGTTTGAGCTGTGAGGAGAATCTCCAACATAGTTCTAAGCGTGGCTGGAGAGACAGATGCCTGAGAGAAACGCAGGTGTGCATGTCCCAGAGTGCACTGTGTATCTTTCAACCGAATCTCCTGGATCTGCATTGTTCCTAAGCTGTTGGCTCACAGAAAACAGGGTCACTGTGCATTGCCTCTGTGAAGTGGGCAAGCATTGTCTGCTGTCTCCCTTTTCTGTACAGAGAAAGTCCAAAAGGAGATAGATCAGGTGATTGGCTCACACCGCCCACCAACCCTTGATGACCGCACCAAAATGCCTTACACTGAAGCTGTCATTCGCGAGATCCAGAGATTTGCAGATATTACCCCGATTGGTTTGCCGCACAAAGTCACCAAAGACACTTTGCTCCGAGGGTACCTGCTCCCCAAGGTGAGACCAGATGCAATTCCACATCTCTATGCCGTGAACATCCTCCACTCTCCCAATCACCACTCTGGGCCGATTTGTGGTTTCCCAGCATTCTGTGGATCCCTAAGGACTGACTGTCAGCAGATGGGAGCCAGGGTATGTTAATATCTTTGCCTCTCACAATGTCTCCTAGAACACTGAAGTGTACCCCGTCCTGAGTTCAGCTCTCCATGACCCACGGTACTTTGAACAACCAGATGCCTTCAATCCTGACCACTTCCTGGATGCCAATGGGGATCTGAAGAAAAATGAAGCTTTTATGCCCTTCTCTATAGGTGAGACGGACCTGTGCTTCATTTCCCAGACACTAGAGGGCAGGCTCATCCTCCAGGATACAGTCAGGACTAGGTCCAGTCTGTTTCAGCTGGGAACCCATTCCACCTGGTTACTGTCCCAGGAAGGGGTCTCTTGAACTAAAGGTGCATCCTACTCAGGAGGATTTTGGAGAGGTATTGAAAAGCCTCAAAACCTGAGCAAATTTATTTCCTTAATTATTTTTTTTTTTATGAGTGGAGAATCTTTTTAAACTAGTGAAACCAGTTTTCTCTAATCATGATTAAATGGCTGACAGAGGAGAACAATGGATGTTCACAGAGAACACAATGGGCTAAGTGCACAACCAGGCTCTTCCCGCCGCTCCCAGAAGTAAACAACAGATTAAATAATTAATAGAGACGATGGGGACATAAATATTCCCAGGTCAGGATGTTTGGCATTTTTTTGCTTTATCTTTTTTGTTAATTTATTTTTTATTTTATTTTATTTTTTTAATTGAAAAAATTTCCGCCTCCTCCCTGCCTCCCATTTTCCTCCCCCTCCCCCCACTCCTCTCTGCCTCCCACCATTTCTTTTCCCCTCCCTCTCCAGTTCAAAGAACAGTCTGGGTTCCCTGCCCTGTGGGAAGTCCAAGGTCCTCCCCCCTTCATCCAGGTCTAGGAAGGTGAGCATCCAAACAGGCTAGGTTCTGATCTATTGGGAGCTCACCAAGGCCATCTGGACTGGGACTGAAAAAGCATGGGATAAAACCAGACTCTATGAACATGACAGACAATGAGGGCTGATGAGAAGCCAAAGACAATGGCACTGGGTTTTGATCCTACTGCATGAACTGGCTTTGTGGGAACCTAGCCTGTCTGGACGCTCACCTTCTTAATTAATTTATTTTTTTTTGAGCTCTACATTTTTTTCTGCTCCCTCCTTGACTCTCCCTCCCCCTTAAACCCTCTCCCAAACTCCCCATGCTCCCAATTTACTCAGAAGATCTTGTCATTTTCTACTTCCAATGTAGATTAGATCAATGTATATCTCTCTTAGGGTCCTCATTGCTGTCTAGATTCTCTGGGATTGTGATTTGTTGGCTGGTTTTCTTTGCTTTATTTTAAAAACCACTTATGAGTGAGTACATGTGATAATTGTCTTTCTGGGTATGTGTCACCCCACGCAAAATGATGTTTTCTAGCTCTATCCGTTTGCCTGCAAAATTCAAGATGTCATTATTTTTTCTGCTGTGTAGTACTCCATTGTGTAAATGTAGCACATTTTCCTTATCCATTCTTCAGTCGAGGGGCATTTAAGTTGTTTACAGATTCTGGTGATGACAAATAATGCTGCTTTGAGCATAGTTGAGCACATGTCCTTGTGGCACAGTTGAGCATCCTTTGGATATAAACTCAAAAGTGGTATTACTGGATCTTGAGGAAGAATGTTTCCTAATTTTCTGACATCCAAAGGGGCTATACCAGCTTGCTCTCCCACCAGCAAGGCAGGAGTGTTCCCTTTACCCTACACTCTCTCTAGCATAAGTAGTCATCAGTGTTTTTGATATTGGCCATTCTTACAGGTGTAAGATGGAATCTCAGAGTTGTTGGATTTGCATTTCTCTGATGGCTAAGGATGTTGAACATTTACTTAAGTGTCTTTCAGCCATTTTAGATTCCTCTGTTGAGAGTTCTGTGTTTAGGTCTGTACTTCATTTTTTTTATTGGGTTATTTGTTCTTTTGATGACCATTTTCTTGATTTCTTTGTATATTTTGGAGATCAGACCTCTGTCTGATGTGCTGTTAGTGAAGATCTTTTTCCATTCTGTAGGATGTCATTTTGTCTTGTTGACCATGTCCTTTGCTTTTCCGAAGCTTTTAGGTTCCAGAAGGTCCCATGTATTAATTGTTTCTCTCAGTGTCTGTGCTGCTGGAGTTATATTTAGGAAGTGGTCTCCTGTGCCAATGCATTCTAGTGTACTTCCCAAGGTTCAGTGTGGTTGGCTTTATGTTGAGGTCTTTGATCCATTTGGACTTGAGTTGTGCATGGTGATAGGTATGGGCCTATTTTCATTTTTCTACTTGTTGATAATAAGTTATGCCAGCACCACTTGTTAAATATACTTTCTTTTTTCCATTTGATATTTTTCTGCTTATTTGTCATAAATCAGGTGTTCAAAGATGTGTGCATTAATATCCCGGTCTTCTATTCAGTCCTCCTGTCTGTTTTTATGCCAATATCAGGCTGTTTTCAGTACTGTAGCTCTGTAGCAGAGTTTAAAGTCAGGGATTGTGATGCCTCCAGAAGTTCTTTTATTGTACAGGATTGTTTTGGCTATCCTGCATTTTTTTGCTTTTCCATATGAAGCTGAATACCGTTCTTTAGATGTCTGTGAAGAATTTTGTTGGGATTTTGATGGACATTGCATTGAGTCTGTAGATTGCTTTCTGTGAGATTGCCATTTTACTATGTTAATTCTGCCTATCCAAGAGAATGGGAGATCTTTCCACCTCTCATGTCTTTTTCATTTTCTTTCTTCAAAGATTTAAAGTTCTGATTATGCAAGTCTTCTACTTGTTTGATTAGAGTTACTCAGAGATATTTTATGATATTTGTGGCTATCGTGAAGGGTGATGTTTCTGCGATATCCAGATGTCCATGTCCTTTAAGTTTTCCAATCTTGTGGAGTACATACAGGTTTTTGAAATATGATGATGATTCTCTGGATTTCCTCCATGCCTGTTGTATTTTCCTCCTTTTCATTTCTGATTTTATTAATTTGGATATTCTCTCTCTGCCTTTTCTTTAGTTTGGATAAAGATTTGTCTATTTTGTTGATATTCTCGAAGAGCCAACTCTTTGTCTCATTGATTCTTTATTATTTTCTTTGTTTCTATTTTGTCAGTTTCAGCTCTCAATTTGATAATTTTTTGTTGTCTAGTTCTCTTGGGTGAGATTGGTCTGGATTCATTCCTGCGTAGGTTCCTGACTTTGGTTGGTACTACAAAGGTCCCTGGCTCTGATCTACTCCCTTGGAGTTCCCAGGTTTGGATGCTCCCAGACCTGCAGAGCACTGGCTCAGGCTTACTCCCTCAGAGTTCCCAGAATCATACTCAGGCCTGCAAAGATTTATGGTTCCTGCCTATTTCATTTGACATCCCAGACCAATGTCCAGACCCACAGAAGTCCTGGCTCAGACTTACTCCCTCTGATGTACCAGACTCATGCCTGGACCCGCAGAGATGTCTGGTGCCTGACTATTCCCTTGGAGGTCCCAAATTCATGCCCAGACCCTCAGAGGTCCTGGTCAGGCCTAGTTCGTGGAAGGCCCTAGACTCACGCCCAGACCCACAGGGGTCCTGGCTTAGGTCTACTCCCTTGAAGGTTCCAAATTCACACCCCAACATGCAGCAGTCTTTGTCTCTGTGTCTGACTCACTTGCTCAGTAGTTGTTCCCCTGTACCTGCTCCCATGGAGCTCACTGCATCAGGCCTGCTCTGGCTCAGGTCACTGGCCCAGTCTTGCTTCTGCAAATGACCCTGGTCTGGAATCTGCTCCTGCTCTCATGGAGTTCACTGTCTGAGGTCAGGATGTCTTTAAAGTCAATGCAGCAATGCCTAGATAAATTCCTCAAGTGCAGAAGACAGTTCCTCCACTTTAGAAAGTACAATGATCAAAGTAATCCATACTTGGTTTTCCAGTTGCATCAAATCGACCAATTCTTTCTTTTCCTACTAAACATGTTTATTAATTTTTCCTTGTTATTAAAAATAGATTCTTTTGTCATACAATATATGCTGATGACAGTTTTCCCCCCCCTTTCCTCCTCCCAGTTCCCCTCCACCCTCCCCACCCACAGGATACATCCCTTTCTGTCTCTCATTAGAAAAGAACAGGCTTCTAAACTATTGCAACCAAACATGATGGAATTAAATATAAGATAAAACAAAAACCATAACTTCAATGTTATACAGTGCAAACCAAGAGAAGGAATAGAGCCCAAGAGAAGGCACGAGAACCAGAGACCCACTCATCTGCACACTCAGGAATCCATGGAAACACTAAATTGAAAGCTTTAAGATGTGCACAGAGGACCTGGTGCAGATCCGAGCAGGCCCTGTCTGAGTTCATATGAGCTCTGCTCAGTTGGTTAAGAGCCTCGTTCTCTTGGTGTCCTGCATCCCTTCCGACTCCTTACCCTCTGTCTTTCTCCTCTTCCTCTGGGTGCTCTGAGCTCTGAGGAGAGGGTTTTGACAAAGACATTCCATTTAGATCTCTGTGTTCCAAGGTTTCTCTCTCTTTGAAACCTCTGACTGTGTCTCTGTGAATTTGTTTCCATCTGGTGCAGGAGGAAGCTTCTCTGGTGGTGGCTGAATAAGGAAGGCATTGATTTATGAGTGTAGCAGAATATCTTTAAGAGTTTTTTGTTATTTTTTTCCTTTTGAGCAATAGCATTTTTTATCCTATGTCTCTGGGCTATCTAGTCCCTGGTTCTTGGTCACTCAAGCAATGCCGCATATTCAAACCATACATTGGATAATTACTCCCACAATGCACTGCATTGTGCCGCTGTTGAGCACTAGTATTTCATGAAGGCAGGATAACATGGTTCATCAAAGGTTTTGTGGATGGATTGATGTATACATTTCTCATGTGGTAGCCTGTAGAATACTTCCTATACCGAAGATTCTAGAACACGGGGGTGAAGGTTCTATATAGGCACCAGCTAGATGTCTCCAGTCTAGTGTATTGTGTGGGAATTGTCTTCAGCGATGAAGCCTTGCTGTCAGTTTGTGGATTCAACGTACTGTCTTGGTAACAGCCTTGGGTTGTTTGGGGTCTTCCATGGGACCCCTTTGGCCAGAAACTCAATTGAATGTAGCCCAGTCCTGGAACTAGAAGCTTCATTTAGTGAGAAGAGATGGCCAGTTGGGACCAAGTCTCCCTCATTATTTGGAGACCTCATTCGAATTGCCTTTCTTTAGTTTAGGAAGTTTCTACTGCACAAGGTTTCCATACCAACACTCAAAGCCCCTCAATTCTAGCTGTCTCTCCCCACACTCTATCCCTCAAGCCCATCTCTCCTCCCACCTGATCTTTCCATTCCTGTCTCTTCTGATGCCCCTAGACCACCCATGAACTCTATTCTATTTTCCCCTCCCAGGGAGATTCATGTTCCCCTCCTATTAGTTTCGTCTATATGCAAGCTTTCTGGGTCTATGGTTATCATTTATTTAATGACTAATATACACATATAAATGAATACATGCAATGTTTATCTTTTTGGGTCTGGGCTACCTCACTCAGGATTCTTTTATAGTTTCATCCCTTTGCCTGAAAATTTCTCGATGTTTCTTTTTAAACAGCTGAATAATCCTCCATTGTATAAATGTAACACATTTTATTCATCCTTCTGTTGAGGAACATGCAAGTTGTTTCCAATTCTGGCTCTATAAATAGAGCAGCCAGAGTAATCCCAGGATGTTTGTATTATATGAAGCTATTGTGAAAGATGTTGTTTCTCTGGGTTCTTTCTCAGTGCGTTTGTCATTTGTATATTGCAGGGCTACTGGTTTTTGTGAGTTAATTATGTGTCCAGCTATTTTTTCTGAAAGTGTTTATAGGCTGTCGGAATTACCCAGCAGAAATATTTGGGTCACATACACACAGACACACACAATTATATCATCTGATAATAAGTACACTTTGACTTCTTCCTTTTCAGTTTGTATGCCCTTGGTCTCCTTCAGTTGTATTATTACTTTAACTAAGACTTCAAGTATTCTATTGAATAGATGTGGAGATTTTAGACAACATTGTCTTGTTCTGAATTTTAATGGAATTGCTTTGAGTTCCTCTCTCTTTAAGTTGATGTGGGCTGTAGGCATGCTGTAAACTGTCTTTGTTATGTGTAGGTGTGTCCCTTGTGTCTCTGTACTCTCCAGTACATTTATCATGAAGAGGCACTGGTTATTGTCAAAGTCTTTTCTGCATCTAATAAGATGAGCACGTGGGTTTTCTTCCTTTCAGTTTGTTTGTATTTATTAATGTTTCATATATTGAACCATCCCGGATCTCTGGAATGAAACCTATTTGATCATGGTGGATGATCTTTTTGATGTGTTTTTGGATTTGGTCTGTAAGAATTTTATAGAGTATTTTTGCCTTTATAAGGCAAATTGGTCTGTGATTCTCTTTCTTTGTGGTTTGAGTGTCAGGGCAACGGTTGTCTCATAAAATGACCTGGACAATATTAGTTCTGTTTCTATTTTGTGGAATAATTTGAGGAGTATTGACATGAACTCCTCTTTGAAAGTCTGATAGAATTCTTTGTTGAAACTCTGTCCCTAGGCTTTCTCCCCCCCCCCCCGGGATTTGGGAGACTTTCAGTGACTCTTTTCATTTCTTTAGGGATTATAGGTCTGTTTAAATTCCTTATTTGATCTTGATTTCACTTTGGTAAGTAGTACCTATCAAGAAAAGTATCCATTTCTTTTAGATCTTCTAATTTGTGGAATACAAGTTTTTAAAGTATGTTCTTTAAATTCTCTGATTTCCTCAGTGTGCTCTTGTGGAGACACAGTGTCCTGGCTGTTCCTGATTGTGTTTTTATGCTGACATCCAGGGATCTGGTTTTGGGGTGATTATAGGTCTAAGTGCGGATTTCTGGGTTTGTCTTTGTTGGGTGGATGTTTGGTTTCTTGGTTTCTGGGGTTTAGGTGAGCATGATGGCTGTGTGTTTCCTCATAGGAAATTTTCTGTGGACATGTTTCCCTGTCCTGCCCAGCTGGTGTGTTCCCAGGGAATGCCTGCTGGTGTTGGAGGCTGGAATAATGGGATAAGTGGTGGTGGCGGGGGAGGAAGATTGGAGGAGAAGATCTTTGTGATTCAATGGGGATGCGGCCAGAGAGGCAAGGGAGAATACAGCAGACATTCCGCTACAGAGCTGGAGCTGAGACTGGGGCAGTGGTGGGTGGATCTGGAGAATCAGAAGGAGAGGCATGGATTCTCTGTCAGCCTACCTGTTTCTCTGGTCAGAGTGGACTTTGGCTTTGTAATGGTGCATCCTGGGGAAGATCAGGGAAATCCAAAGAGATGTGGAGTGTGGGTAGGGAAGGCTGCAGCAAAGTTTCTGTTGCAGAGGTGGGGTGAGGACTGGGGTTTGGGTTTTGGGGAACAGAGGGAGTGACGAAGATCTGCTGAATAAGCAATGGGGACACACAGAGAGAGAAACAGACAGACAGAGAGACAGAGAGAAAGAGGGAGAGGTGGTGGTGATGAGAGACAGAGGGGACAGAGACAGGAGCAGACAGAGAACTCTTGGTATTTATTCCATTATCTTCCTGCTGTGATCTCCCAAGTGCTGTACTTACAGGCATGTGCCCCCATGCCTGGCTTATCTAGGACCCTTAATGCCATTCAGTTGTTGGTCTAAGAGTCTCTGTAAACAGCACCTTCACCTTCAGGGCAGCCAATGAGATGGGGACCAATCTCCTCACATGAGAAAGAAGGGAACATTACAGATGTTACATTATACGTGTTTACACATGCATATTTGTTCCTACTCTATTGTGTTCTTCAATTCTGAAACAAAGGACTCTGATAATGAATAAAACCTAGAAATCCATCAGAAAAATTGTGAGACATCCACCACCAATTTGTCTTGCATTTTATAATTAATTTATTGTATATATGTTTGCATGCATATACATGTGTGCTAGTGAGTGTGTATGTGTTTATGACAGAGGACAGATTATGGGAGTTTGTTCTCTCCTTGGAACATGTGGGTTCAGGGGGTGAACGCATTTCCTCAGGATCGATGTCAGACTGCCTTCCATGCTAAGAAGTCTCACTGGCCCTTGCACCAATTCTTTAAGGTTTTGGGAGAAACTCTTACCATTCTTTCTTGAATAGCAGGTTAATGATCAAACTCATTCTTATCTGTTGCAATGGGAGAGTTGTTTGGGTTTAGGGAAGGGACAGTCTAAAGGTTGTAAACACACCTAGGACTCACATGGCTCATTCTCTGTGCCCACAGGAAAGCGCATTTGCCTTGGCGAAGGAATTGCCCGCAATGAATTGTTCCTTTTCTTCACCACCATCCTCCAGAACTTCTCTGTGTCCAGTCCCGTGGCTCCTAAGGACATTGACCTCAGGCCCAAGGAGAGCGGCTTGACCAAAGTGGCTCCTACATACCAGATCCAGTTCTCACCCCGCTGACTGGGCTGCGGTGGCCAGGTGTCCCCACTCCTGTTGAGAATGGCCCCATCTTCTGCCTCTGAGACCTGCTGCCAACCAGGCTGTAGGTCACTGCTTACACCCTTCTACCTTACTGCAGCTTCTATAAAGCTCCGAGCTGTGTCCTTATGCCCTGAGAATGGCACTGGGGAAATCACTCAATGTCTTTCTTGATGTGTGAACTGAGAGACTTCTAAAGGCCACATCTCATGCTGAGTCAGTTCTCTATTGCACCCAGCAACCACAATTTCCATGAAGAAACTTCTGGTCCTCCATGAAACATTCTAATGAATGCCAGAGGTCGTGTCAGAGGAGGAGTAGGTGGAAACTGAAGTTCAAAGTGTCAGCTCGCCAGGAGGAAAACTCTCTGATGGGTTAATCCTGTTTTATGTAAGACTATGAGAACACAGACTCTGCAATATCTTTTGATTCTACTTTGTTCTTACATGTTTATTGCTACAGTCTTTCTCTGGTATCTGGCTTGGTGTGAGTAGATGTGGGGAGACCCTACTGCCTGTGACATAGTGTGTTTCTCTCATGAAAACAGCCTGATGTACTGGGTAGTTTTATCTGTGGATTGTCAAGACCAATATTCCTCCTTAACTGTGCTGTCTAATTGATATAATGTTAGCTTATACAGAATTTTGATAAAAAAATGGACACAAGGAAATAATACACAGTCTGTGCCTATGAGCTTCCCCTAAGGGGCTGCTGAAGACCACAGCTCAAGTTAAGAAAAACAATGAGCCAGCTGTCTCAAATTCCTTGAATCTTAATGCTCAGAAATGCGTCACAGGTTTTAGTGTGCACCATTAGTTGAAATAAAGCTTCAAAATAACTTTGGATTGGACCAGATTGGATTGCTAATGGCCTTTTAAAGATAAACTACTCCAGAAAACCAATCTAACATTCAGAAGACACATAGCTGAGCTGCTGATTCATTTAGGCTAGAGTCAAAAATAAAAAACAGCCCAATTATTGCCAGCTGACAGATGACTAACTTCTTGCACCCTTTCCTGGCATTTTATTGCTGATATGAAGACTCAAGTTCAGCTGACTGTTTCTTATGTATATAAGTGTTGGGTCCTGGTATTGCACAATTAACAGGGAGTAGAATATCGGACTCTAGAAATAGAAGCAACTTTTGTTCAGTCAGGACTGCAGAGAGTAATGTGACTGTGTAGAACCCTAAGAGGAACTGCAGATTTCTTTTTATGATCCAAGATCACACACAGGGTAGGCAGTACATTTTGAGATTTAAAGCATAATGGTGTCACAGTTTCCCATGAGTGCTGACTGAGGTGAAGCTAAGAAATTTATGCTTTCTCTGCAATGTTGTCTTGAGCTTGAACTTTCAAATTTATGACACTCCAGTCACCTTGGAGATCCAAAGAGAATCTGGAATTTATGACTTCTGATAACAGGGTATTAGTTTAATAAGTTTAAATAGTTGTGGGTTAGTTTGAATTGCTCTTCCCCTGCCAGGGAGAAATGAAATGTAACCCTTGGTGACTCCTGCATTGCCTGAAAGATTTTGTTAGGGTGTGTAAGCAGTGGGGGGGGGGGGGAGCGAGAGAGAGAGAGAGAGAGAGAGAATTAGAGAGAACAACATGAGAAGAGAATGAAAAATCAAACCATCAGAAGAGTGTGAGTGTTTTTTCCCTAATGCTCAGACAGAAAAATCTTAGCTACGTGGATCTGTGGATTTCCTTTCAAATCTTGTGATGTCTGAAGGCTGACCCACTAGGCTGCAACAAACACACTCTATATATGGTCTGAATTCTGTGTCTGTGGACTTGCTTAATCTGTGTGGTTCAGGTAGACAGAGTCACATAGCTGTGATCTTTCTGTATGGAATTTTTTACTTCACACATTATTTGCCACACAAACTCCAGTGTTGTCTGTGTGGCATGACATACGTCATTATGCCAGATGGGAGCTATGTGGCTTATGGAACTAGGCTGCCTGGAGGTCAATGCCAGATGGCCCGGTATTAGCCACCACTGAGGCATAAATGGGGTTCTTGATTAGCTGGCTATGCAGGATATGGGCTTTGCACAATCTCTTTTATAATAATGATATTCTTTAGACAAGGATTCTCTCTTCAGGAACAGCTCTGGGATAGGAAGCACAGTATGGGAATGTATAAGACCACAGCAGAACCCTTGTCATACATGGGGTGTATGATGAGCAAGGGAATAGATGGGTTAATGTTGATGGACAAAGAGTGTTATATTATACTTTGACCCCCATGGTGTCTGCTGCATAAGAAGGTACAAAAAAGTATATTTCAGCAGGTGCAGAGAACTGATTAGGCGTATTTGGTCACTAGGTGAGATAAAGAAAGGGTTAGAAAGAGGAAGGGCCATGATAGCGATAATGAGACAGAAACTTTCTATTCATAAGATGAAACCACTTGTCTGAGGTTTACGTTCCCAAAGACAAGAATTCCTTTTCTGGGGATGTTTTATATATAACACCTGTCTCTGATAATATGCTTTTCTTAAGTATCGCTGATGTGACTAAAAGAAGCTTTCATACTGTGCCGACTAATGATACATGACCTTCTTCTGATTTGTTCTTTGTTTAAATACTATATAATGAAGTAAAATTTCATCAGATTCCAACCACTCTTTTGTGTGTTGTGTCTGTCTGTCATCACTGACCTTGTGCCTTCCTGTGTACCAAGACCCTGCTTTTCCCATGGTCTGAGTGGCTCCCCTGAGCCAGTTCATGGCAATTATTATCTAGGTTCCTATGCTTTGCAGACATGGTCACATCATCCAAGGGCTTTAGATTAGATGCATTGCTTTAGGCTTGTCTCATGATCTTTCTCAGCAAAAGCACAATACCTTCTTTCATGTGTTCTGTCAGCAGAAGAAGTGGTCCAGATTTAGGGTGGATTTTCCTGCTTCTAATAATCTAATAAAAAAAATCCCTCACTGGATGCCAGCAGCCTGGGTTTTATTTGATGCCTGATACAGTCAAGTTAACTCTCAAGTGCCACCACCACAGTGCCCAGTCCCCTGACCTCCTGGCTATTCTTACATGTGACCTCTTGGTTGTCTAGTAATAAGGTTCTCTACAGAAGGGCTTCTTGCTGAAAACTCCCATCACATCTATGTCAGGTGAAGGGACAATCTCTTGCCTTGTTCTCTGCTCCATTGTGAGAACCTGGAGGAGCAGGTAGCTGGTGCTAAGTGTTTAATACAGTTGAACAGTAACCAGTAAGTAAATAAACAACTTGATAAAGTGACACCATGAGTAACTCCTTAAACTTGCCCCATGTGCAGCCGGACCTTGTCTGCCTAATCTCTGTCAGTCTCTTATGATGACCACAGGAAATCCTTGTCCTCATAGTGTCCAGGATGACCCCAGTTCTGTGACTCATCTGTGCTTGCTGTCTTCCACCTTCTGACATATGTGTCTGGGAGCGACCCATATTTCTATTTGGTATGGCAGCCAGACTCTCAATCCATAGACCACACCTGAAGTAGTCGCACACCCTTCCAGACAGGCTGTGCCTAACCTAACAAGGGATCAGTTGTTGTTTTGACCCTTTCTTTGTAATTTGGAGGATTCCTGAGAAGAGGTGTTAATTCAGCCTATGTGACAAAGCTATCATACAGAGCAGGAAGATGTGACAGCAAGCATAGGTAGATGTGGATGTGACTAAAAGCCATTCACCTGGTTACCTCAGAAACAGAATGCTAATGAATTTCTCCCTCAGTTTACATTTTGATATAAAGGCTGTTTAGAGAACATGCGAGGAGGAATTTTTCAGGATGTGAACTCTGGATTTCATGAGGGATCTCTGAGAATTTCCCTCCCAATAAAGCCATATAAGTTGTATCTTTATTCCTGCACCTCCACGTCAGTCCAGAGAAATAATTTATGTCCCAGGCTGCCACTGAACCATGACATAATGGTGTCCAGATGTGAGGCTGATTCGCGAATTAAAAAAAAAGCACCAAAGAAGTGATCAGATGTACAGATTAGAACGTGAGGAATTCATGAGAGAAAATTTTACCACAGGAGGGTACGTGAGTATGAGTGCTTAGAAGTAGACAATAGAATTTAAAGAAGTATAGAGAAGAGGGACAAAATTTAAATCAGGAGTAAAAAAATGTAAATAATAGGAAATTCAGCTATACATGTTAATAGCCAAAGGAAGTTAAGAGCAGAAACAATGGCAAAAATATTTAACATCTGTAAGCCTGATAGTTGCAGAAATGCAACTTTGATTACTGCTAAATGGGTAGGAAAAGTGAAGGGAGTATTGCTTTTGGCCTAAGAGTTGCCTTGGTTACCACTGAGATTGGGGAGCCACATGCAGGTGCAGTAGCCAGATAAATCTAACCCACCTGCGGGGGAAAGGCAAGCAGGAGACAGAGTAAGTTTAGAGAACAAATTTCACCCTACACAGTCAGATGTCCAGAGTCAGTCAAGAGAAAAAAGGAGAGGATTCAGGAATTCTACTAATTTTATGATTACAAGTTAAAATAAAAAGATAGTTAAAATCAGTGCAGCTACACCAGCCAGAGCTGTGAGGGCAGGTTACAAATGGAGAGAGGCTGTGTGCTACTCCCCCTGCCCTGAGGCCCAGCTTAGCTAGGAGTTGGACAGGCATGTTTGCAGAAAAGCTAACCTCAGGGAACTGAAGCTTCAGGACAATTAAAAATAGATAAGCAGGTTGAATATGCTTTGTTTATGTTTCACAATTTTTGCTTCTTTGTCAAAAATATGTAGTTTGTTGCTTTGTGGACTGATATCAGTTTGTTTGATACATCTATCCATTTTAATCTGGTTTCAGTTCTGTGGCTCTTTAAGGAAATTTTAAAGTCAGAGATTATGATGCATTCAGAAGTTCCTTGATTGTACAGGAGTTTAAGATTGTTTGGGCTATCCTGAGTTTTTATCTTTTCTTATAAAGTTGATGATTGTTCTTTTGAGGTCTGTAAAGAATTTTGTTATAATTTATGGGCATTTGCATTGAATCTGTAGGATGATTTCAGTATGATTGTAATTTTTGCTATGTTGGTTCTACTTTCCCAAGAGAATAAGAAATCTTTCCATTTTCTGATATCTTAAATTTCTTTCTTGAAAGATCTAAAGTTCTTATCATACAGGACTTTCAGCTTGTATGGTTAGAGTTACTCTAAGACATTTTATGGTATTTATGGCTATTGTAAAGATGATGTCTTTCATTTATCATATGTGTAGAAGAGGTGCATTTTGGGTTGTTTTCAGATTCTGTCTATAACAAAGTAATCCTGCTGTGAACATAGTTGAGCACATGTCCTTATGGTATGGTTGAGTATCTTTTTTCATGTTTTATTTATTTATTTTTAAAATTTTATTATTTTATTTTAAAACACTTTGACTTCTTTTTTATCATTTTTATTTATTTATTTTTATTATTTAATTAAAAATTTCCACCTCCTCCCATATCCCTCCCGCTCCCCCATACCCCTTCCCCTCCCTCTTCAGTACAAAGAGCAGTTAGAGTTCCCTGCCCTGTGCGAAGTGCAAGGTCCTCCCCCCTCCATCCAGGACTAGGAAAGTGAGCATCCAAACAGCCTAGGCTCCCACAAAGTCATTACATGCAGTAGGATCAAAACCCAGTGCCATTGTCCTTGGCTTCTCAGGCAACCCTCCTTGTCAGCCACATTCAGGGAGTCTGGTTTGATCACATGCTCCAGCATCCAGCTGGCCTTGGTGAGCTTACATTAGATCAGCCCCTCTGTCTCAGTGGGTGGGCACACCTCTCATGGTCCTAACTTCCTTGCTCATGTTCTCCCTCCTGCTCTTCATTTGGACCTTAGGAGCTTAGTCCAGTGCTCCAGTGTGGGTCTCTGTCTCTAGCTTCATCCATTGCCAGATGAAGTTTCTATGGTGATATGCAAGATATTCATCAGTATGGCTATAAGATAGGGCCATTTCAGGCTCCCTCTCCTCAGCTGCCCAAGGATCTAGCTGGGGACATCTCCATGGACACCTGGGAACCCCTCTAGAGTCAAATCTTTTGCCAACCCTAAAATGGCTCCCTTAATTAAGATATCCACTACTCCCATATCCACCCTGCCTCCATCCCAACCGTTCCATTTCCCCAAGCTCTCCCCATCCTTCCCTTCTCACTTTTTTCTCCCCATTTCCCCTTACCCTCACCCCACCCCAACCCCCAAGTTTCCAATTTTTGCTTGGCAATCTTGTCTCCTTCTAATATCAAGAGGATAACTTTATATTTTTCTTTGGGATCACATTCTTATTTAATTTCTCTAGGATCTCATATTATAGGGTCAATATTCTTTATTTAGGGCTAAAATCCACGTATGAGTGAGTACATAACCATATTCATCTTTTTGGGTCTGGGTTACCTCACTCAGGATAGTGTTTTCTATTTCCATCCATTTGCATGCAAAATTCAAGATGTCATTGTTTTTTACTGCTGAGTAGTACTCTAATGCGTACATATTCCATACTTTCTTCATCCATTCTTCTGTTGAGGGGCATCTAGGTTGTTTCCAGGTTCTGGCTATCACAAATAATGCTGCATGAACATAGTTGAACAAATGCTTCTGTAGTATGATAGAGCATTTCTTGAGTATATTCCCAAGAGTGGTATTGCTGGATCCTGGGGTAGGTTGATCCTGACTTTCCTAAGAAACCACCACACTGATTTCCAAAGTGGTTGCACAAGTTTGCATTCCCACCAGCAATGGATGAGTATACCCCTTACTCTACAACCTCTCCAGCAAAGGCTATCATTGGTGTTTTTGATTTTATCCATTCTGACAGGTGTAAGATGGTATCTCAAAATTGTTTTGATTTGCATTTCCCTGATCACTAAGGAGGTTGAGCATGACCTTAAGTGTCTTTTGGCCATTTGAAATTCTTGTGTTGAGAATTCTCTGTTCAGTTCAGTGCCCCATTTTTTAATTGGGTTGATTAGCATTTTAAAGTCTAGTTTCTTGAGTTCTTTATGTATTTTGGAGATCAGACCCTTGTCTGTTGCGGGATTGGTGAAGATCTTCTCCATGTCAGTACGTTGCTTTTTTGTCTTAGTGACAATGTCTGTTGAAGGGAACTGCAGAGTGCGTTCCTGCCACCCAGCTCCCAGCCACCTGGCTAGCTGTGCCCTGAAATAACAACACACAAACTGTATTCATATAAACACTGCTTGGCCCATTTCTATTAATGTGTGTAGTACCATGAAGTGGTGACTTATCTTGCCTAACCCATATTTAGTAATCTGTGTAGCACCAGTCTTACCAGGAAAGATTCAGCATGTCTGACCTGGCGGCTTGCTTCATCGTGTCTGCTCTGGAGAGCAGCAGCATGGCATCTGCTGTTTCTCCCAGCATTCTGTTCTATACTCCACCCACCTATGTTCTAATCTATCAGGCCAAGCAGTTTTTTTATTAATTAACCAATGAAAGCAACAGATTGATAAGACACTCCCACATCAAGTGTCCTTTACTTTACAAAAGCTTCTCAGTCTCAGGAGGTCCCATTTATTCAATGAGGCCCTTAATGTCTGTGCTGCTGGGGAAATACATAGGAAGTGATCTCCTGTGCCCATATGTTGTAGAGTACTTCCCACTTTCTCTTCTATCAGGTTCAGTGTGTT